AGGTGGAAGTAGCCATACCAACTGTAAGAGGCCAATCAATTGAGATGAGCTATCATCAGCAGGAGAAAAAAAACCTTTGAAGTGATAATCAAGATGACGCATAGAGAGAAGCATGAGGAGAAAATACAGTAGCTCCAGTGAATAGACAAGGTCACACAAAGTTTTGTACATTGGCAAGAGGAATTTAAGTGTGTTTGGCTTCTTCCAGTTTAATAATCTGATGATTAAAAAGTGGATTATCCTGACAGTGTCCCTTTGAGAAACCAAACCAGAGGTTAAGAAAAGGCCCCAGTTTTTAAATTTAAAACTAGAACTTTCCCATGGGACAAAGATCATCATTCCGAAGGTTTTAGACATTTTGTTCTCTTCCGCTGATAAAAATGATGTGTGAGGGATGCAGACTAAGCAACCCCATCTTGGGAGTTTGGGAAATGGTGGGGAGTAGAGGGCTGTATTTACTACACTAATGTGAAACAGTGCAAACACTGTCCCATGGGCCCTGATTGCCCAATGCCTGCACCTGACACAGTCACTTCCACCTGTGCAAAGCGGGCGTCACAGAGTATCATTCTGACATAGCAACATTCTACCTCCCTATCACACTCACTCTGTCCCGGGGGTGAGTGGAGTGGAGACTCAGGCCCCGGATATACTGAGAGGCACTATGGTAGTAGATTCAGTCCTCTCACTCTGAAGTCAATATAATTATTTAGAGAGTGCTGTTAGGTGGACATAGCTCTTAAAAAATAACCCTGCTGAAAGCAGCTTAAATCTAAGCTCCCATTCCTGCAAATACCTGTATTCATGTGATTAGTCCCTCTGCAGTCAGTGGGACTAGTCATGTGAGTAAAGTTATACATATAGAATCATAGAAATGTAGGGGGACCTCAAGAGGTCACCTAGTCCAGCCCCCTTGCTGAGTCAGGACCAAGTAAACCTAGATCATCCCTGACCGTTGTTTGTCTAATCTGTTCTTAGAAACCTCCAGGGACAGGAAGATCACAGCCTCCCTTGATAACCTGATCCAGTGTTATACCAATAGAATAAAAACCAGCAGGATCTTATTAAGAGGGATAAGGCAAGGATGCCACATTTATTGTAAATATGATAAAGCAAAAGATAAAAGTAAACAACGTTGTTTGACCACTTATTCCTATCACTACTTATTCCTTATACACACACACACACACACATATATATAGATCGATAGATAGATTTATTCACACAATCATTCATTCAAGTTCTGTATAGGTGTTATAGTTACCAGCCTAGAAGTTGCTCATGCCAAGTTACTGGCCAGGTATCTTGGTCATGAGGATGGAGCCGAGTCTGTGTCAGGTGCACCTGATGCTCCTGGAGGTTGGCAGCAGAACCAGAGACTCAAAGTCATCAGTCTTGAGAGTCCATTCTTATAGGATTTAATTCCTATATTAGTCTATGGGAGCTGTTTCATTCTGCTGTTGCTGACTCAATCAGCAGATGGCACATTCCTGGGCCCATTCCTGTGGCTCCAAACTGTTCAAAGTTTGTGTTTCTCATCCTTCCAGGTGATGGGGTGGATCCCAGTTTACCCTCCGGGGGTTCTGGTGGTCCACTTGACACATTCTTCGGCCGATGGATACTCCCTTTCTAGGCTGGCACCTCCCTAACCATTCATGTACATTAAGCATTCATCAGCATACATTACATATCTTAACCATATTTTAATTTACTGTCTCCACCACTTTCGGGGTGTGTGCTAATTCATTTGAGACTCCCGGCCCTTTAATCACAAAGGGTGGGGGTCTGTCCTAGGAGCCGTTGAATGAAGTGAAAGTCACTTAACAGCTTATAGTGTTTGTTTACATTGTATCAATTACTTCAAGAACAAAGTCAATTAAGTTGTTTGTAAGTTTTACATAGTAATAAAATATCTTTCACAGGATAGATATAATCAATGGTTTCTACAGACAGTAGCTTACAAGTTTTAACAGAAGACCCAAGAGATTTTTGTACTTGGTGAAACTGTTGGATTTTAAAGTGTGGGGGCAAAATTATGAGGGAGTCACTGTCACTTGGGGGAATCACTGTTAGTACCTTCTTTAATATCCCTACACCAGTACTTAACTGTACATATAGTTAGAAAGCTTTGCCTACTCTCTAACCTAATAGGTCAGGTTTTCTAACCCTTTTATTATTTTTGTTGCTCTCTTCTGGACCCTCTTCAAACATCCACATCTTTCTCAAAGTCTGGCCCCCAAAACTTGATGCAATGCTGCAGCTGAGACCTCAACAGTGCTGAGCAGTGCAGGACAATTACCTGCGGTGTCTTAGATACAACACTCCCATTAGCCTTTTTTTGCCATGATATCACATTGTTGGCTCATATTCAATTTGTGATCCACTATAACCCCCAGATCCTTTTTGGCAGTACTACCTCCCAGACAGTTATTCCCTATTTTTTATTTGTGCATTTGATTTATCCTTCCTAGGTATAGTACTTTGCACTTGTCTTTATTTAATTTCATCTTGTTGATTTCAGACCAATTCTCCAATTTGCCACAGTTATTTGAATTCTAATCCTGTCCTCCAAAGTTCTTGCAATGCCTCCCAGCTTGGTGTTATCTGTATGTTTTATAAACGTACTCTCCAACCCATTGTCCAAGTCATTAGCAAAAATATTGAATAGTACCACACCCAGGACAGACCCTTGCAAGGCCCCACTAGATACATTCTCACAGTTTGACAGCAAACCATCGACAACTTCTTCTTTCCCAATCAGCAAATTGACCAGCTCAGTCTGGGTTTTTTTAATATTTTCCTCTACTTATCATCTCCCTTTACCTCTCCTAGAGTTGGGTGGGGGGGAGAGATGAATGGGTAGTCAGTAATCCAGGTGCTGGAGACTAAGTATTATGGAAGTGGAGCTAATGAGGCACTTACTGCTGAGAAAGTTAAAAAGGACCAGCTGAAAGCTACCCCCTGAAACATTTGTTGGCTCAGACAACAGGCTACTGGGAGGAAATGGTGTGGAAACCTTAGAGGTGACATATTGACTTACTCTTGTCTTTTCTTTAGTTCTTTTGCATGAAGAAATTGTGTTCTCTAGGGAGAGGATTTCTTTTCCTTGGGTAGTATGATGTTGGGAGGGATTTAATAAGCAACAGGAAAGCCATAAAGAAAAGGATTTGTAAGGTGAAAAGCTACTGCTGTGGATTGCTGTAATATTCTTTGTTGCCAAAGGGGGCAGGCATAGCATTCTTCCCTAAACTCTGACTTGGGATATGGCTGTCAAACTCCTGCTAGAGAGAATGCTGTTAGCATAGTTCTGCTGGCTCAAACAGAACTTCACCTCGACACTAGTAAACCAGTAAAAGTGTGGTCTGTGTAAAGGTGAGTATGTATGGTGGCTGGTGAGATGGTACTATGTGCTTGCTAACTGAACAGCTACCTTGAACTGAGTCTGCACTTCAGGCTTATGCTCTTATGTTGAGTGCCTAAAGAAGTGGCTTGGCTCTTTCTTTCTTTCTCACCTTCAATGAACTCTTTAGACCCAGTGAGCTTTGTATAGGCAATGCCTCTAATAGCCTGTAATTCTGGGTGCTGCTTATGAGTGCTCAGAGTGAGCTGCTCAAATCCATACAAATCTGAAATTTTCACCTTGGTTCATAGTGGGCATGCTCCATGGCTTAACACAGGCATTCACAGAGTCATTCCACCCCCCCCTCCTCTCTCTCTCTCTCTCACACACACACAAATTGTTACCCATCTTTATCCTATAACTAATTCCCCATGTACTAGGGGGGTCTGTGTCACTACAGCAGATGTCATATCAACAAGGCTCTGGGGGCTTTCAAATTCTAAGGTGTAGGGTGAGACCATGGTTTTGCATATTCAGTCTTACGGTGCCCCCTCAACCAGGTGTTATGCTGATTAGCGGCTCCTAATGTCTGTCTCTGGCACAGTCAGAGCCCCAAACGTAGGTCTCGAGCTCTGCTCCAAGGCAGTGTAATGAGTGGCACCCCCAGGTGTCACAAATAAGCCTTGGTGTGGTTCCACCTTGCTCACTGCTGGGTGCAGCAGCTGAAACCCCTGAAGCATCTGCCCCTTTCCCATAGCAAAAATAGCTACTGATAAAGAAAGACCAAAGGGGCAAGGGAACCTCTTCTCAGGCTATCTGCTGTAATCAAAAAGCCCTCCTTTCACAGATGGGTCAGCAAAAAGCACTAGAAGGCCCAGTCTACAACTCTCCAAGAGCTATGTGTGTGTCTGAACTAGACTTAAATATGGCTTGTCTGGCTAGTATGGATATGGGATGGGGAGGGATGTAGGTTCTTGGTTTGTGGAGGAGGGAGAAAAAACAGATAAAATCTATAGGAAGAGCCTAACCCCTCAGCTTTCCAAGCAGACTCTTCCATCCCTGTGGCTTTGTTGTCCCTACTGATAGCCTGTTTGCTCAGCCACATGGGAAACTGTCTCCAGCAAAGGGGAAGGCCTTCAAGGTATGAACTTCACAACCTATCTGGGCTCCTCTACAGGACGGTGGTGCAGTAGGTGTTCAGAGAAGCTGTGAAAAAGAAGGGTTGGGGTAGATAAACTATTCTCCCCTGCAAAGGGCACAGACCAGAAGAGCAATAGCTGTTCCTTCACATACTGGACAATAGCTGGCACCCAGCCTTGGACACCAGAACTTCTCTAATGAAAGCTACTGCCCAGGACACTTACCCTTTAACTTCCTGTGCTACTGACCTAGGCTCTCACTTATTGCACAGGTTATGAGTTGTGACCAACAGATCCCATGGTATACAACATCCTTCCTGCTTCCAAGGTGAAGAGTAATAGTAATTGTGCTGCAACATTGTCCTCCACTAACCATTTCACCATGTTTAGAGTGTTGGAATGTTGGTTTGTTCCTACTGGGGCTTCTATCTAGTTTAACACACATGCTCCCAAGTTTCCTGTCTCTTGTGCCAATGCAGCACTGGGTGACAGTTCACTCTTTCTTCCAGCCTATTGACAGAATGTCTGGACACGGCAAGAGGAAGGCAAAGCCCTGGTCTTCAAGATCCCAGTCAAAGAGGGCTGGTTTGCAATTCCCTGTGAGCCGTGTCCACCGGTACCTGAAGAAGGGGCACTATGCGGTGAGAATAAGCCCCAGTGCTGCAGTCTACCTGGCCTCTGTGCTACAGTACCTGAGTGCCGAAGTGCTGGAGGCAGCAGGGTACGTGACCCAGGCAAAGGGGTACCACCGCATCATGCCAAGGCACATCCTGCTGGGCATTAAGTGTGATGACGAACTGCATAAACTGTTCAGCCATGTGACTATTCCCCAAGGAGGTGTCCCGCCCAGAATTGAGAAGCCGCTTCTGACCAAGAAAACCAACAAAAAGTCTGCAAGTAGAAAGAGAGCTGCCCCCTGCTAGTTCCCCTCCAGCTGAGCCTGGAAATGAGGGGTGGGGTCTGGCTCACTGAGACTGGATTTCTGTGCTACAGGCTTCACTTGGTGCCCTTGGTTTGTGTATTGCTGCTAAAGAATATTTATTCAGATTGGTGATTTGTATAATCTTTGATATATGAAATACAGGTTTATTAGACTATCTGGCTCTTGCGAGTCCTATTTATGCAGTAGATTGTAATAAGGAATCCAGCTCTGGTCTGTATGATTTAGAGGAAAAATGGTTTTGTGTCCTGGTCTAGTGCCTTAGCCACAGGAGATCTGGTTTCAGTCCTGATTCTGATACAGGCAGAGCCATCCCTTAGGTATGGCAAATCGGGGCAACCGCTCCGGGCCCCATAGGCCACCAATGCGATTGGCTGGCGCCGGGTGCAGGTGGTCCCAGACGTGATGGATTGTCACTTCCGTACTGGGTCCCGCACCCCCCACAGGGATGGCCCTGGATACAGGCTTCATTGTGCTCTCTTGAACGAGTTATTTAGGCCCAGAACCTCAAAGGTATTTAGGCACCTCCCTCCCTTGAGGATCTGGGCCTTAATCTCTGCCTTAGTTCCTCCCCTATAAAATAGGGATAATTATTCCTCTTTCTTGTCTACTTAGATAAGTGCCTTGTACAATGGGGCCCTAATCTCAATTGGGGGCCTTCAGATGCTCCCATAATACAACCAGTAATGGGGATCTGGAGGAAGGGAGGCCCTTGCAGAAAACTGGTATTTCCACAATCCTACAGCAGGGGAGTGGGGAGAAGGGCCGTCTTGATACAAGGCAGGCAGAGAACAGAAATGCCTTTATGTGAGAGGTGTCATGGTGGTCTTGCCCCCTCAGCTAATGACATTAATGTGCTGTGAGCAAGGCTACCCCAAACCTAGGTGAGAATGTTCAATTGGCCCAGAACGAGGCACAACTCCTATGTCACCAGTGTAGAGTCTGAACCATGTAGTTACTGCCAGAGGGGAGTCTGGTGACACTAGGTTGACTCCTCTCTGGGCCTTGTCCTAAGCATGTACAGAGGGTGTATTATCACTACCTGTTCAGTCTGCTGTATCCAAGTGTCATGGCTACCTCCAAACAGGAGAGGATCTGACCTTACCTAGGCACTGAAATATCTGTGTGCTCCTCTTTCCACTTGGACCTAGTGTAGCCATTTTTTTTTTATTCCCTTACTCTTCCCTTCTCCTTCAATTTCTTCATTTCATGCTCACTTCTGCTCTGGCCCCAGACTCTGACCTCCTCCCACAGTGCTCTCTGCTTTATCTCCACACTCTGTCCCTGCCCTCCTGTTCCTCATCCTTCTCTCCCCCTTCCACCTAGCACTGATCTGAAAGAAGTTGAGGATTGTGGGTTCCCCCCACCCCCCTGCTACATACACAGTGATTTCAATAGGTTGGACAGGAAGGGGACTCTCCCTGAATCAGGAAAGGAGGTGGGGGAACCTGGCTCTCCCAAGCTCTGTGCCCCCCCATCTAATTACAGTCCCACCCCCTTACTTTGACATGTGCATGCACTTAAAATCTGCCTCTTACTTCCTAGTCATCACTTTTTCCTTACATTTTACTACCCCTTTGATCTGTGGATGGAGACGGCTCCCTCTTCTTTAGGCTCCCACCCTCAGTCTAGTGTCTGGCTGGAAGCTAGTCCTCCAAATAAATATAATCTCATGGAGATACTATGTTGAAGAATGAATAGTGATGAAGCAAACCAACTGGATTTATTCTTTTACAAATCTAGGTAGGCCTTGATAAGCTAGTTGACTTGGGCCATTGCCTCAGATCAAGTGTAGTATGATGTCAAGGCTGATTCCCCACTCTGGCAATTCAAGTGCAGAAGGAAGGGGGCCACAAGGATTTTAAAAATTAATACTGGCCACTCCAGGCTTGTATTAAACTCCCAAGGTTACAGCTTTTTTCTGACCTTGGTTTGGTAAATACTACCACTACCCAAATGCAAAACCCCTTTCAGATCCCAGGAAGGTGCACTTAGGGATTCCTTCCTGTGGGGTATCCTCAAGTGCGTGCGCGCTCTCTCACTCTCACTCACTCACACACACACACACCTGAGAAAGAAAACAAAGGAAATTAGCTGTTGCCACCAGCTAATTTAACAACATGCACAAACCAATTAGGACACCTAAAACCCAATCCTATTCTTAAAGGTAAATTTTATTAAAAACAAAAAGAAAATACATTTGGAACTTAAGCTTTTGCTAGATTTTAAAAGAACAATTCCAAAAATTAAGCACCCAAAATAGCTTGCTTGGGGGTTCAGCTTAAAGGTTACAAGCACACAAAAGCATCTGGTATTAGCACAGAGGAGTCCACAAGCCTTACAGAAAATGAAAGAAAGAAATCTAATTGTGTCTGTCTAAACATTCCCTGTCCCAGTGAATCCTTCTCGGTAGGGATGATGAATTTTCATACCTGGTCCAAACTTTACACAGCATTCCAGCTGCCCCCATCTCTTCAGCCCAGAGAGAACAATAGAGAGACAAAGGAAAAACTTCCTTCCCATTTTAAAAAATTCTAGCCTTCCCCTTGGCTCTTTTGCTCACGTGCCCACTCCCTTTTCTTTGTGGGGGACTTTTTAACCCTTTACAGGTAAAGCAAGCAGCCACCATGAGGGACTTTATAGCTGGCTGGCTGGGTGCTCATAAAAGGGAGCTCCTCCCCCCTTCATTTATCACATGAATTTATTATTCCGCCCCTTGCTGGGAGGAGGGATACCTCTAGTCTGACTCAGAGGTGAAGATCCAGTTATGAGGTGACCATCCAATAGATATAGCTGCAAATGAATTTCCCTCTTCTCTTTCTCTCTCTCCTCATTGGCAAATAAAAGAATATCAGACTTCACATGGTGGTGTACCTAGGCCCCTCGCTTACTAGTGTATCCTAAGGAAGGAAAGAGGATTGGACAAGGGTCTTTCTTTGTTCCAGTTCCTTTTATGGAGGGCATGTCCCAGTGCTGAGGCATTTAGGCTAAAAGCTTATGGGAAATAAGGGAGGGATGAGGCAATATGCCAGTATGGCATGATTTCTAGGCTTCACTATAGAAACCTCCTTAGCGAGTGTCTTTTAAACAAGTATACTTGTGGCTGGAGCCTCTAGAAGGGCACAGCCTTTGGCTAGATGCTATTAATTTTGCTGATATGATGCAAAGGGGGATGGTGCTGTAACAGTATTAGCAACCCCAAGCATTCCAAAATCACACCTTAGGCCCCCCAAAAATCATGCATGCCTTTTAAAAAAAATAATGAAACTGTGTGTTTTGCTTGATCTCATTTTTAGCCTGTAGGGGGCACTTGAGTAACCTCTTCAATCTTTTGTGTGTAACTGAGAGGGCTAGAAACTTACCTTTATTTTAAATGAAAGATGAGATTCTCATGGAATCCCATGACTCCAGGACCTGGGGCTTTAAGAAAAGCACCAAATAGCATGAGACTCACAATAAAATACAGGAAGTTGGCAGCCACTAGCCTGGGAAGGGAGAGAATGGGGGCAATTAGAGCAGGGGGAGGGGTTGGTGAAGATCCCTTGGAGAAGCAGAGCTACACTGAAGGATGGGGATAGTTGTGGGGGTTGGAGTGAATAAGTCTTGGGGTGAGGGGGACAGGCAGAGGTGGGGTGCAGAATTAACTGGAATCTTGGGACTTGGGGAGAAGTGAGGAGTCCTACAGGCACACAGGAGAGCTCTGTGGGGTGAGTGTGTGGGTGTGTAAAAATTGTTGCTCTATAAACTTTGAGTTGGCAATGCTGTTCTTGCCACGCCCACTGTGTGTGTGTGTGTGTGTGTGGGGGGGATCATTGAACAGACCCAAAACCACAATCTCTCTCTTCAACAACAAAAAACGCCCCTCAATTTTGGGGGACTGACTCATGACATTTGAGCTCCTGCAGTTGGCTATCAGGTTCTTACAGGGTTCAGAAACTTTTCTGAAGTGCTGAATACTGGCGGCTCCCATTGGGCACCCACAACTGCAGTCTGTGTGTCAAAAATCACAGGCTAAGTATTTTCCTTCCTCTCTTCTTTATCTTCTCCTGCCCACTCCCTGCTCCAGCTGTTTGGAGGGTTAAGTCTGATCCTCAAAGTGCACTGGCCACTTAGGAATGTGGCAGAAAAGTGTGTGCAGGTACACATGTGTACACACACACACACACAACCCAGAACAAATGTTTTGTTGTACAGCTGACTTTTCTTGAGGTTAAAGTATCTGGTAACTTTCAATGACCAGTTTGCCTGGGCCTCTTGAAAAATAATAAAGTTTAAATTAAAACATTTAAACATTAAAATTAGTCTTATTCTCTGTCTAGGGATTCACTGTGTCGTGCTGAGTGCAGTGTTGTTGTAGCCATGTGAGTCCCAGGCTACTAGAGAGACAAGCTGGGGGAGGTTATAGCTTTTATTGGCCCAAATTCTGTGGGTGAGAGAGACAAATTCTCAAGCTGATACAGACCCGCTCTGCCTCCAGAGCACACTAGGCAATTATAGTCCCTCTGCCCACTAGGGGTCTCTGGGTTACGGGAGAGAAGGATCAGAGTTTATTCAAACAGTTAAGCATCGGAGCAGCTGCTGGCTGGAGCTGTGGGGACTGGGAGGGGTTTGGAGCAGCGGCTGCAAAGCAGGGTTCGCGCTGCCTGTTTTCACGGCCGCAGCAGCTCCGCCGGAGAGAAGGTGGGACTCGCTCTCCTGCCCCAGGGGGTCGGGACTCCGCTCGCCAGGAAAAGGTAAAGGGAGGCGCGCGGGGCTCTCGGGCTCTGTCTGCAGGGGAGAAGCGCGCAATGGCCAAAGCAAGGAGCGGCTGGCGCGGGGGGTGGCAGGGGGAAGCGCACCTGAAACAGCAGCAGCAACAAAGGGAGCCCTGTCCCCCCCCCCTTCGCTTTCCAGGGCTAGCAGAGGAGGATCGGAGCCCGTGGTTGTTGGGCTTAGTCAGAGATGGGCACGTGAAACGCTCTCCGGGGATTTCCCCGAGAGAGAGGGGGCCGTGGTACAGCACCTTCCCGTGTGTGTTTCCTTGCCACCCAAGGCGCGTTTTGTTTACAGGGGGGCGGCTAAACTCTTCCCCGGCCCCTCGCCTCGCCCGGGGGCTCTCGCTTCCAGTTTTGGAAAAGGCGGTTTGGGAAGGGCCGAGCTCTCCCTGCTGCAAGGCGCTTTTCACTGGAACAAACTCGGCGAGGTGCAAAAATGACAAGTTTGTGGTTTTTGTTTTTCTTTTAACCACGTCGTGAATCAAGGGGTGGCTCAGACTGTGACTCGAGGGCGTTCCCAACGCCCCGGGGCAATGCCCCGCTGTTCCCTTGGAGGCCACGAATTTCCATGCAGCCTAGGAGATGCCTCATGAGCAACCCTTTTAATTTCTCCAGAGCCATCGGAGGCATAAAGCAGTTAAGGGACTTGCACATGTTGTCGGTGATCTCCTGTGGCCAGCTCTAGAGCTTTAATCACCAGACCATTTTCCTCCCTATTGAGAGGCGAGTTTCTATGTTGTGATTGCCTTTTTTTTTTTAACATGACTTCCTCTCGCTAGCAAATCCTTAGGGGTTGTCTTGCTACAGGGGTTCGGCGTAGTCTCTTGACTTTGTTGTACAGAGCTTATCTCTCTTCACTTCTGGTTTGTTTAAGGCTCCACTTCTGTATAAATAAGATTTGGCCTTCAGGTTGAAATACTGGTGAAATCCTTGGGGGGAAGAAAATATTTACCAGGAAATCCAATCAATTGTTATGCTCCACGTGCTGCTTATGTGTTCTCCCTGTCTCCCATTTTGAAACTAGCAGGAGCTGTGCTGGCTGTGTGTCACTTTAGCACCATCCTGTTGCTTGACATGCAGAGCATTCCCCAGCAGGCTTTGCTTCATGGCATCTAGTGAAAAGGATAGACAGCAGTCAGGATGTCTTGATCATAGAAGCCCTTGATAATGAATCCATCCCATTGCAGCAGCTTGTTGGTTTTGAGGAGGAGTATATTTAACCGAGAAACCTCTGGATGCCCTATTAAAAACCCTGTAACTCATTTCTCCCCCTCCCCCCCATCCCCTTTCTTGCTCTGGGGTTTCACAAGGTGCTAAAGATCAGCCCTTCCCACTGATCAAGGATTTAATTAAAGGTTACAGAGGTGATGCATGGTGGCAGCCATTTTGCTAAAGTTATGCCATACAAGACAACCATTGGGGACCCCAGTGTCAGAAAACTGGCTTCTACAGTCCATGATGTTTTAATCGTGGCTTAGGTTCTGAGGGAGGCTTCTAGTGTGACAGATATCATCTAGTTAACATGCAGACCAAAGGTGCTCTCAATTGTTTAAATCAACATGAAGACAGAGCAGAAAGGTCTGCCCCATCCCTGCCCCTGGACTTTGGCAGTCTAAAAATGGTTGCTGCCGATGGAGGAGACTCAGAAAAGCCCCTTCTGAGTTAAAACTTCAGCCTCAGGGTATTAGTTTGCGGTGAAGGTAGGAAGACAACCCCTTATAGCACCTAGAACATAGTTTGCCTTTAGGCCTGTGGGTTACCATAATGCTGCTGCTAACCTGCCTCTTGCCATAGGCTAGGGAAAGTGGAGTTCAGGGCAAAATGGGTGCAGCTTCTGTGTGCTGTGACTGATCTGCAACTCTACTTGAGCTAACAAACTGGATAAGATTTCATAGATTTTGCTCACAGTGGTGCCTTTTTTACTTTAATCTATGCTGACCTCTTTGTATAACATAGGCTGTCAAATGTCACATCTACTACTGTGTTTATACGTTGCTAGCCCAATGGGGCTGCGTTCTTGGGTGGCACTTTTAGACACTACTGTAAATCAACATGATTAACAAATCCAGTGCCTCCAGCAGTAAAGGGAATTGTTCTTTTCTGTTAGGGAAGTGAATGTTACTGAGCTCAGCAGCTGCCTGTGGTAACAGACTACCACACTGTGACCAGGAGAGCTAAGCTGCTTTTTGAGATCTGTAGCTTCTGACCCACAAAGCCCCTCTCATACCACGGCCTTTTCCCTCCATCGTTTCAATATTTTTCACTGCCTGGCCTGAAATTGTTGTGTATCATTTGCAGAAGCTTGCGAAATAGCTTCTGAGTGTTCTCTAGCTGGCCACTTTACTGTGCCAGATCAATTAGTCCATGTCTCCCTGTGTTTGGTGTCGTGAAAGGCAATAGAGAAGTCCAAAGGAGCCTATTTAGTTCAGTCTCCCAGAGTCACCATGAGACTTTCCACTCCCACAGCTTGGTACAAAGGCCTTGCAGCCCTGCTGTAGTTCTGAGATAAGTTACCACATGTACCTAGGCTCCTCCTTTGAGCTCTTCTTACCGTTCTCAAGCAGGTTCTGCATTCACTCATTCCTGCTCTGCTCAGTTCAGCTGTATCCCTCGTACTCTCAATTCCTACCCCATGCCCTCTTTGCCAGAGTGGGTGGGCAGCAAAGTCTCCCTTCCCCTTGGTGTTGAGTGTCCTCAGAGATCAGATGTGTTTCAGAAGTGCTTGTTCTAATGGTTTCATCTCTGTGCAGCCAGTATAGAGGGAGCAGAGCACTGATTAGCATGAACTCCCCAATAGCAAAATTGGCCAGATTGCACCCTGCCCTGGGGTCTGTTGGGGTTAAAGGAACCACCTTGTGGGCATCCCGTACTGAGCATTTGTATGGCACTTGCCTTCTTCAAAACATTTAAGCCTGCTGACGTGCCTGCAAGGTAGGGAAGTATTGTTGCAATTTTATGGATAAGGAAACTGAGGCAGACAAATTAAGTAACTTGCCTAAAGCTGCTGCAAAGTCAGTGTTACAGCTAAGATGAGAACAACAGAGTTCCTGGCTTCTAGAGCTGTGCTCAGAGCACATCTCTGAGAGGACACTATCGTGTAAAATGTGTGGCAACAGCGCTCGTGGTCACATGCATCCTTGCAGTGCGGTGGCCAGGGGGGTGATATTGTATTGCTCTCATGAAACCAGTGTTTTTTGTAATCAAAGTGCAGCGTGAGACTGTGGGTGTCTCACCTCCATCAGGCTCTCTGGCAGGCCCAGGTCTCCCTGCACAGCACTGTCTGCTCTTGCTGATCAAATACAGTAACTGTGGTGATGACCTTTGCTAGCACAGACTCTCTCTCTCCCTTGCCTACATGCAGCCTGGGCTGTTTCTCTGGGTGTATTTCTTCCCCCTGCCCCGCCCCATCTCCCCAGGCTGGAAATGATTTACAGAACCTGCCTGAGTGCAGGCATGCTCCCATTCAGCCTCGTGCTATGCCTACACACTTAACATCGCCTCTTCTGAAGCATAATAAAGTGCTTACTGTCTGAATCCTGGCTCCACAAGGAACATTTCCAGTGTGGCCTCCCTAGGCTTAAATGAGAGATTCTTTGGGAGGGGATGGAGAGAAGCTGCCACCTTTCTTTGGAGAGGAAAACTGTGTTTCTGACTTCGGTGGCTGATGCAGGGCTAATACGGTCCTCTTGTGGGGCTCTCAAGAGGCAGATTGGATTATACGAAGCTAATAATAATTGTAGCTCGGTTGCTGTAGCTGCTCACTCTGTGAGAACGTTACACAGTCTGCAGCTACGTATTTGCTCACCCTCAGAAAACTCAGCCCCTTTATGTTGTCCCAAGCTAGGTGGCCAAAAATCAGGCTACCTAAAAATCTCTTAATTAGTTCTGAAAATTCTGGCCCTTGCTTTCCTGAATTCTCCTCCACTTGATGCAGTGAGCTACTTCCTTCTGCCTCTGGCTAAATATGCATGTGTTATATTAAATGTGAGTGTTACTTTAAAACTCCCCTCAGCGAGAGTTTTTGGGGAAGGAAAACAGCTGGCTGGATATCTCCACCCTCCGTGCGTCTTTTACCAATATTAGCGGGAAGCAAACTGTCCTGTCAGATCTCTCCATGCATCTCATTGTAGCTTCCTCACCTGCTTCAAGCTGTGGTGCTGTCCCCACTGCCCTCTCACCCCTATGGCATGTTAGTTTATAGCAGGTAGAGTCCAGTGCATGTAATACAGTGCAGCACTTCCCATAGGTAACACACACAAGCTGAAGAAAGAGTGGGATCAGAAAGGAAAAGAGCTGCATTTACACATCTCCCCTTTCTTGCTCTATGCCCTGCAAGCCCCTGTCAGCATTCCTGCCATTCTCTCTCTGCTTTTGCTCCCCCCATCTCCTATATCTCCCATCTGCCCAATTATATGGGATTCAGGAGCCTTCTGCTGTCTACCTATTTCTAGTCTCGATGCCCAGTTACCTCCAGGGACTGCTGCTGCATCTGGGCTGTGTCCCCCAGACAAGTTAGGTCAGAGGACTGGTGTCAGCCAGAATGAAGCAGGATGGCTCCACCAATATGTCAGGCCCCTCCCTACCATAGCAGTCCCAATGGGCTCCCACCAAGACCAGGAAATTAATTTAGTCTTGACTGTTTCAAAACTTCAGGAGTCTGAGGGTTGAGGTTAGATCTCCCTGCTTCTCTCGCATTCTCCCTTTCCCACCTGTGTCCTCTCAGCTGTTGGGACCCACCTATACCTCTTAATTTCTTACACCCCATGTGTTCCTTTCCCTGCCGCACCTTCTGACTGCAGCCAAACCTAATAAATGAAGCAAATCCTACTTTGCAACATGGCCATGCTGTCCCTTCCTCCCCCATATGTGCCCTTTTGGGAGCCCGGTGACTGTGTGTACATAGCCATCCTGGATGGGGATTTGTAAACTTCCCTATTTGGGGAAACGCTCCCACCCATCATGGTGCCCTGAGTGGGGTT